GGGGGGAGAAAACCTACCCAGTACACCTTTTTGGCCAGTTTCTTGTAATCCAGCTGCTGTAAGCAGAGCTTAGTGCGGTGGGGGTCACCCGGGAAGTGACAGCCCAGGTCTTCCAGGTGGTGGATCGGACCTTTGGACGTGTCTGACGGGTCGGTCTGAGGGTGCACCGCCCAGTACGACAAGGGAGAACCGCTTTGGAGGATGGCAGATCGGAATAAACCTTGGGGGAAGAGGGGGGTAAGGTGGGGATGAGTTTGTATAATATATAATTTTAAAATTTGTTTTGTTTTGTTTTGTTTGGGGAGGGGGGGAGGGCGGTGATCGGGGTAAGGGGGTAAGAAGGATTTTTTTTCAGAAGGGAGGAGGGTGGAGGAATGATAGGAATTGGGTGAGGGTGTGAGGTGGTGGGGGAGGGATCAGGTTGGGGTAATGATGATCGGGGTAGGAGGAGTGAGGGGATGACACAAAGTTACAGAGTTAATGTGTTGTGGCGACGGACATCGAAAAGAAACAAGCTCGATGTTCCCCAGATAGATAGATAGATAGATAGATAGATAGATAGATAGATAGATAGATAGATAGATAGATAGATAGATAGATAGGTAGATAGATAGACAGCAATTCTAGCTGTGCTTTTTATGATTTATAATCTTGCTTCTCCCCTGCCTCCCCCCCTCGATTTGTTTTTGGGTTCACACTAATTACTCAGCAACATATCCATTCGCATATTATGTAGCTATATGTAATGAGGTAAAAGTGAAGGGCTTAAAGTAAAAGAACGAATAAACATTTATGACGTGGAAAAAAACACTCTTGTATTATAATATTGCATGAAAGACCACAAGTGCTGTTTACCTTTTGACAATGGTGACAAAATATGCAGACCCACGTCCACGCCCCCTGCACTGTGACCTTCGACCGTGACCTTCGCGGGGTCACCTCCAAAGCTGGCAATGTTCTGCTGCACCCACTTGAACGCCATGATCTGATCGTGCAGTCCAAAGTTGCCGGGAATTCCTAGGTGCGGGGCACTCAGAAAACCTTCACAGAAGGAACAGAACATGAGGGTTTTTTTTAGTTTCAGTAAGTGTTTTACGGTATTTGCAACATAAGACGGTCATATGCATAGTATTATTATAACTGCAGACGGTTAGAGGTGTTACAAGAGAGTAACAAACACAAAACAGAAAGAGGAGAGATCAGGACGATAGAATAAATGGTCGCTTTTAAGGACAAGCGGGATAACCCAGATTTCGGGGATTTCCTGAAATCTTGACCTACACCAAAAGTGGGCTTTGCCCTACCTATAGGAGAAGATTGGTTTCATTGGTGTGTATATTTGTTTGGTTGCAGAGAAAACTCTCCACGTCTTTTAAAGAAACTGAAGAAGGGGCAAAAACTTTAACTTTGATTTTCTCAAAACAGCATTTTTCGGGATATCCCCTTGTGCTTAAAAGCGACCAAATGAAATGTTTAATAGGAAAGAAGGCGCAAACCCACCCGGCCGAACGTCCGCTAGTCACCGACTTGACAGGTGAGAAGAACAGTTAGTTGTTCGAAACTATTGGTTGATAGAGTTGAACGACCCGACATACGGTACAAGACGAGACTCGACAATATAGGGCAGTGCTCCGTATCTCTGAAACATATCATTATTGCAATCCGATTGGACCGCTGCTTAGCAACCTAGTTAGTAGGCTTACTACCCACCGGTCCTACTAATTGCCGTCTGGAGCTGTTTGGAGCCGTCCGTAGACTTTAAAAATAATTATTTTGCCTTACGATTTTAAAAAGTAATTTCTGTTAGTTAACAAGACTGGCCTAAAATCTGGACAAAACAGAATTGACATTTTGGTGAGGACAGCTGATTTGTTCTGAACCAGAAGTTGGACGGAGCAGACCAACAATCTCTGATCGCTGTTTTTCGTTTCGCAGTTAATATATCGTAGACCCTGCCTTTGTTTTCGTGCTATCTCC